AATAATAGAAATAATAAAGTAATATAATACTATAAAATAATAATCTAAAAATAGTACTATTAACACTCATAACAATGGTTACTATAGGCAAGCTAGTATTTTAACTTATTGTATCAACATATGAGAGATGTTGTTTTTTTCATGATATATATCTTGTTATATACAAATCAAATAAAGAAATAATGTTTACCTACTTAAATAAATAAATATATATATATATATTGTATATTTGTTATAACTGATTATAAATCAAAAAACCTATTAAAAGAGTTTATAATATTTTGAAAAATGTTTTAAAAAATATATTTTTTTTAAATGCTAAGTGAGGTCTTTCTCAAGTTTTTATTAATTATACATAATAAATGTGATACTGTACATTATATACAAAATCAATAAAGTATGAAGTATATGACAATACATATTAATCTGCTATCAAGAGCAGATATATCATTGAAAAAAACTTAGAAAGAAAAACTTGAGAAACTATCTGTTACAAAAAAATAAAAAATAAAAAAAACATTTCAAACAAGATTGTCAATTGTAAAAAAAAATAATAGAAATTTGATTTAGGAGAAAAAAAAATATTGATAGTGTATAAGATGGACTATATACTACTTAAATATAAGTAAGACATATAGTTAATATTTTATGGAGAGTAGAATGTTATAGTAGTGGTATGTTTAGGATTTATGAGTATATTATCTTTGAACCAACAATTCCTCCTACAGGGCACAAACCAAATGTGTTACCTAGGTTACTGCTTCCTTTTTGATAGTTGAGCACGACTTCAGTAGCAGTAAAGGAGCACTGGCTTAAGCTGCCAGATTATAGGATGCAACTTTCTAATATTTCACTTTCACTTGCAATAAAAGTATTACTTTTACTCACATTAGTTAGGCTTTGGCTGTCTTTTTTCTTTAATAGTAGCATTGCTGCTTATGGGTTGCAACTCCATTGTTGAGATAATAAATAATCATGTGATTAGTAAAAGAGTGTTGTGGTTGAAGTATAAGTGAGTCGGGTAACTGGAGCCTGTTCCAATTGCTTGTTTTGTTGTTTGGGTACATGTAGAGTAAAGATTACCAGAGCCCACATAGGGCACAGGTCACGCATTCTTCCAATCCAGTAAGTTATCAGATTATTTCTTTGTTATTGTTATTGTTATTGTTATTATTGTTGTTATTGTTGAGTGTGAGAATTTTTTGTTGAAAAACTGGTTATAGATGAGTTTGAACAGGTTTGGTTTTGTTGTTAAGGAGTGAAGAATTTTTATTGGTTGTTTGTTGAGTGTAGATATTTTGATGAGATAAAGCTGATTGTGGTTTTTGTGTAAATTTGAAAAAAATATTGAAAAATAAAAAAAATGAGGCATAGAATTAGTTTTGAAATAGAAAGAAAAACAATAAATTTGTAAAGGTTGTGTTAAGACAAACATTAGACCCAGTAACTTTGTTTGAATATATTGTTAGGATTGAGTTTTGTTATAGAGAAAAGAAAGTGAAAAATTTAGCAATATTTGAGACTAGCCCAAAGAGCTCACATACCTCTCCAAGCTTCCATCAGAAAATAGTTTTTGTATAATGCCAATTTTTACTCTGAGTGAAGAAAAATCTTGCAAAGTGTAGGACTTGAGATATTGCTGAAATGTGACCTGGTTCTCCAAACTCTTTTTAAAATTTCTTTTCTTGCCTTTGCTGAAACATATCATTAGGTCTGCTATCTTCGTATCTTGTGAAAATTGAAAAACTTTAAGAATTGGCAGCTTTATGGTATTCAAAGTAACTGTTCTGAGGTCAACCGGCCATAAAAATAGTTTGCATTGCTTTTTATACAGAGCTTTAATCAAAAACATTTTATTTTGAACAAGTGTGGTAGGGAGGCACTTCAAAATATTTTGCATTGCGATAAGTTCATTCAATATATGCTAATTGTCTATTATCAATCAATGCATTAGATCAAGTGATTCTAATTTATACTGTCATTAAAATTCTTAGTGTTTAATATCAATAAAATGTTTGGATAAAATTAATTAAGATTATTATCAGATTTACTATCTATCAGAATATCTCAATAAACATATAAATTCCTTTTTTGTTATTATACTATTAATATGTTTTGCATGGCATTTTGGTTAGGTTACAATGGTGCTTGGGTTAGGTGTCTTACATAATATTTTTTAAGATTGGTGTAGTGTTGAAGCTAGAATTAGAGTAAATGGATATACAGTAAGTATTCTTGGCAGTAATGTTTTACTTGAATATAATTAATTTTAAGCAATATTTTTGGCTTGCCATCACTTGCACAAACTTAAGATTCCTTATCACTACTTTTCAAGATTCTGGTACTAATAAACCATTAAAATTTACTACTTTAATACCAACAGAATACTCTCCAGGATACTGTTGATTCTCAAATTATATCTTGACCTCAATGGATAGTTGTCACAAAGATGTTGTGACATCTAAATTCCATTAAGAAAGATTCAATAAGATGAATTACTAAGATCTTGAGGTTTATTTTATTTTATTTTTTTGGGGGTTTCCCCTCATAAGTAAGCATTATTTCTTTATTTGATATTGTATATAACATAGTATACATTATGAAAGAAACAACATCTCTTACGTATATGTTGTTGAGCCAGAAAATGGCGAGTCAGTCGCTTCACCGGTCCAAAGTTCGCGTTATCAAAGGTAAGTTGAGGCGTGTATGATTGATTTAGCCAGGCAGTACTAATTAACTTCTCTTCTTTTCTTTCCCGGCA